ATCCTACAGCACCACTTATTGAATATACAAAAGTTTTCAACTGTGTGGATCCTAACAAACTATGGAAAACATTGAGAAGAATGGGTATTCAAAAACATTTAATTATGCTCATGAAGAATCTGTACATTGCAAAGGGTAGTCTAGAACAGAGCAAGAGGATACTAAACGGTTCAACAGCAGGAAATGTGTGTGTCAAGGTTGTTTCACCATACTTATTCAACTGGTAATGTTTGAGGAAATAATCTGAGAAGCTAGATTATGTGAAGAGGAATATAACATTAGGTTGGAAGAAGATTCATTAAAAACCTGCGATATGCAGATAACACAACCTTGCTTGCTGCAAGCAAAGAAGACTTGAAATACTGATGAAGATTAAAAACTACAGCCTTCAGTATGGATTATACCTCAATATAAAGAAAAAAAAAAAATCCTCACAACTGGAAAACATCATGATAAATGGAGAAAAGACTGAAGTTGTCCAAGACTTCAATTTGCTTTGATTCATAATCAATGGTCATGGAAGCAGGAGTCAAGGAATCAAATAATATATTACAGTAGGCAAATCCGCTGGAAAAAAACCTCTTTAAAGTATTCAAGAGCAAAGATGTCAGTTTGAGGACTAAGGTGCACCTGACCAAAACCATGGTATTTTCAACAGTCTCATATACATGTGAAAGTTGGATAATAAGTAAGGGAAACTTTAGAAGAATCAATGAATTTGAATTATGCTATTAGACAAGAATACTGAAAGTACTATGGACTGCTAGAAGAGCAAACAAATCTGTGTTGGAAGAAGAACAGGCAGAATGCACCTTTAAAGTTGTTGTTGATTATCGTTGAGTCGATTCCAACCCATAGCGACCCTGTATAGGGTTTCCAAGGAGCAGCTGGTGAGCTTGAACCGCTGACCTTCCAGTTCAAACGGCTTTGCAGTCTGACAATTATAAGTGTGGACATATTATTATGAAGGATAAGTCTCTGGAGAAGACTTTTTATGCTTGGAAAAGTGGAAGTCGGAGATTAAAGAGGAAAACCCCTAACAATATGGATTAACACAGTGGCAGGAACAGTGGGCTCAAAACATAAAAACAAACGTGAGGATGGTGCAGGACTGGGCAGTATTTTGTAGTTTTCTGAATAGGGTTGCTATGAATCGGAATAGAGTCAACAGTGCCTAACAACACAATAGCCAACAACGAGTTGCATGTGGTTGATTCAAATAACAACCATACTTATAGAACTAAGCTAGCATGACTCGATTCATATGAAATTTGTGAGCCAATATTATTATGATGGGTAAGATTCAGACACCTTGGGAAGAAGGTGTGTTTATTTTGTTTTTTAAAAAAAGGTAGTGAATTGTGGTGGCCAGTGGTGGGTGAACTAACTATAGTAGGTAGTCACAAAGATGACTGACATCAAAGCTAGATCCTAAGAATTCTCTCAGTTTCCACATAAACCTGCTGAAACCCTCACTCTTGGGACACTCCCTCAGGAAATCAGCTACCATGGGGAGAGATGTTCAAGTCAGATAGCAAGAGTGTACGTGGTGGTAGTGGCTATGTGCCGTGGAGTCAGTTCCGACTCATAGAGACCCTACCCTGTACAGGGTTTCCAAGGCAGTAAATCTTTATGGGAGCAGAAAGTCTCATCTTTCTCCTGCTGAACAGCTGGTAGTTTCGAACTGCTGACTTTGAGGTTAACAGCTCAACTGGTAACCACTACACTACCAGAGCAATATTGGTATGGATTGCCTTTTCTGTAACTAAGCATTTTTTTAATATCAGTTTGACATTCTGGAGTCACTCAAGCCCACAAAACATGATCTTTCTTTGCTTTGTTGTTGTTAGTTGCCATCACTTCTAACTCAAAGCAATTTTATGTATACCAGAGTTCCATAAGGTTTTAAGACTGTGACCTTTCAAAGGCGGATCACCAGGCCTGTCTTCTGAGGTGTCTCTGAGTGGGTTTGAACTACTAACCTTTCAGCTGGTAGCTGAACACTTAACTGCGTGCTTGCACCACCACCCAAGAATTCCCCTTTTGCTTTACACCAGATCATTGAGGATTTATTATCAAGTAACTTTTTCATTTAAAAAGTGTATTCTTGAAAATTTAAATTATCAAAACAATTTTTATTATACTTGTACACAGTGGCATTTCTAACTACATGCCCTTAAAAACAAGTATTTTATCTTAACATTGCCAACCATGTGACTTCTAAATGTGCGCCATGACAAAGATGGTTCCTATCCTGATTCAACAGATGAGATGTTGGAAGATTTTCTCTCCACATCATTTCAGACTTTTCTCCCTACGTCTTCAGTCTCTAATCCTGCAAGTCTCTGAGTAAGTTTCTTTACAATTGGTTTCCTTAGGCAATTATAAAAGTAGAGGGAAAGAGAAATATGCATTTACATTTAAGGATGAATTAAGGCTACATCATTTGCGAATTGTCAGGATAGCCTTACTTTAACTCTTACTTGTACCTGCTTTCTACATAGACTACGAATGTACACATTATATACCCCCTATACTCCTATGAATTAAATTAGGCACATCAAAATGAAGGTATATTATAGCTCCTTAAGCAGGTTACAAACTATTATTAAAATAATCACATAGCTAGAGCTAATGTTTCTACCTGTATGATCAAATTCATTTACACACATTACTAAAATTCTATGCAATTTCATTGTTACCCCTCAAAGAAGTCTTTTTAAACATATTTTGTAATCACCCCCATATGGTTTAACCCACAACTAAATTTTTTCTATTTATGTACTAGATATATATCTGTACTTTATATATACAGAGTAAGACATTTTTCAATCACTACCCCAAACCAACTTCCACCCTTTTGTGGGTGGGACTATCTCCACCACTGACAATACATGGTTTAGCTGAATAATTTGTTTTTCAAAGGAAATATGTTATAATCAAAATAAAACCAAGCTCTAGAATACCACAGAAGACTCATGAAGAACATGGCAAGACTCAACGCCACATTCTGAAAAGTCCAACTTAGAGCCTGAGAATCACAGACCATTATCTAACTTTTTGTGTACCTGCTAAATAAAACTCATATTGTGCTGTTTTTAAAAGGCATGATCATTCCACCATTCTTCACTGATTTTCCTTAGATAAGTAATTTGTGGTAACTTTGGTAACTCAAAATTTGTGGTAACAAGTAGAATATAGATTTTTAAAACCAAAATATAAGAAGTTCTATTCATGAGGCTCTAAAGTACAAAATGGTAATAAAGATTAAAACACGAATTTGATCATCAGAAGTATTCCCAATATAGCGAAGTATACATATCGTATCACTGACATTTGGTAAAACAGAATTGCAAATAGTATTAAGATGAAGAGCACTATTTAAATACAAACTATTGAAAATAAATATCAAAAGCAATAATTTTATTAGTTGCCTCAAAAATTCCATTTATGTTTGCCTATAATTAATACATCTTTAGTATCAAAGCTCAGCAGTATTTTTTCTCCTTAATTAACTCACCTGTATCTCCTAATCTCCCTCCTTTAGCATAGCTATCAGTTACTACTAGCTAAGGATTGAACTGGATGGGAAAGGGAAAAGCCATAGGGCACAGACTGTCCACTGACCCACCATGGTGCCAGCCCCATCTTATTCTATCCACTCACCCCAAATTATCCACCCGACACCAGGTGCTCACAGGGAGACCAGTGGTAGATATTTAAAACTACAAAAGACAGTAATAGGATGATTGTAGGATGAGGTACTAATAGCAAGTAAATGCTATTCTTTTAATTAGCAAAAATCAAGACCTCTCAGCCAAAGATTTTTTCAGTGTTAAGAAATAAAACTGTTATGCATAAGTATATTTACTGACACCACAGTTTATTAGAGACTGACTGCACAAGGAACAGGCAGATCATCCAAAATGCTTTAAAATATTATTTATTTTGAAATAAAGGTAACCATAAAATTGAGTCATTCAATAACTGATTTATCTTTTGGTGTCATTATTTTTCATCCTAACCATGACAGGGCAAACTGAAATCTTTTAGAACTTCATCAAAGTTATTTCACTTTAATATTATAACAAAACACTTACCGACTTGTTCTAAGATGTAAGCATATCTGTTTTAAGTCTCTACAGCAACTAAGGCTTTATTTAGTCTTTATGCTGACATGTTTTTTCTATAATACTTTAGCTCCATTTACTTTTAATAAATTGAATAAATATACCTAGGTAAAAATCATAAATTATTCCTTTCACAATTATTCTTCTGTTTCACAATCTGGAAGCTGTGATACTAAACCTTTCAATATAAGACAGTTAAAAGTTCTATTAAAAAAAACAATATACTGGGTACACTACAAAATGACTCACTGATCTTTGGCCATTAAAAACAGATGACTTGAAGATTAAAAAATTACTGACAAAAGCCATAAAACACTTGCAAATAAGAGATCAGAGATCGTCACCAAGTAAAGGCCTGAATTTTAATTCAAATGAACATGTTTCTCACTGACACCAGGGTAAAACAATAGCAATAAAGCAATGCAGTATGGCCAGCCCAATGGAACAAGTAAACTTTTCACTGTAGAATCCTAATCTTGTGCTAATAATTAGTTTCTTCTTTGATTAAGAACAAACAGGACCAGGAAATAGTGAAAACAAAGATACAACCTAAAAATAACCAGCATTTTTTTTTCATAAAGATACATATTTACCAGCCTATGCCACATGTTTACAGAAAATATGAATTATATAGTAGTTTATCTAGCAATCAATACACCAAACACTGTGTCAACTATTAGCATTGAACACGATACAGACTTTGGTCTCAGGCTCAGTCTGACAGAAGAAAGCCCATTTCTTCTGTAATTTTTAAAGTTAAACATTAAACTAATGCCCTACAACATATGTTACACAATTAAAGACAATCATGAGAAACAAAATAATAAAACCAGCAAAATACTAAAAGCTTATAGTAAATTACATATTTACCTTGACTCCGCACTCAGTCTTATTATGTTTTTTTGTGGCAGAGAATCTTGTGATTTTTGTTCCAAATCCTATTAAAAAGAAAAAGTTATATTTTTAAAACTCAAGTCTCAAAATTAGCTCTGTACTGTTGCTATTGTTGTTGTTGTTGTTAAGTACCCTCAAGTCAGCTCCATTCTTAGAGACCCTGTATAGGGTTTCCAAGAAGAGGTTGGTGAGTTTGAGTTTGAACCACCAACCTTGTGGTTCAAACTGACCTTGTGATCCAGCGCTTTATCTCACAGTGCTACACCAGCACTCTAGCTCTGTAACAGTACCCTGCAAAAATCCTGAATAAAGGCAAAAATGAAGGGAAAACATTAAGTTTTTTCCAGCTATCTGTAATGTTGTTAGTTGACTGAGTTGATTCCGACTCATGGAAGACTCCATGTGTGCAGACTAGAATTGCTCCACAGGATTTTTTAAGACTGTGACCTTACAGGAGCAGATGACCAGGCCTGACTTCAGAAGCACCTCTGTATGGTTTTGAACTACCAACTTTACAGCTAGTAGCTAGCGCCTGCCAGTTTGCACTGCACAGGGTTAAAGTCCATTAAAGTTTGAAATTAGAAATCCTCTGTGTGTATGTGTTAATATTTCTAGTACAATGTATGCTACAGGTGAAGAGTAAACTGTAGCTGAAACTACAAACAAAATAAATCAGACTTCTAGGGATACTTCGAAAAGGATTTTGCTACCTTACATTTATATACATTTCATGTCCTTAAGAAAATATATGTCCATTTAATGCATTTGTATATTAATATGAAAATATACCATCATGACTTGATTACTAACATCAGTATATGGTACCTTGAAGCTTTATGTCTAATTCTTGACATGTAAATTCAAAATATATACAAAAATTCCAAAGCCTATCATTCACTATTGATTTCATTCACTAAACTAAAAAGGCACTATCTGTTGTTGTTGTTGTTAAGTGCCAACAAGTCAGTTCTGATTCAGTGTCCCTGCTTAGGGTTTTCAAGAAGTGACTTGTGGGCTTGAACCACAGACCTTGCAGTTAGTAGTCCAGTACTTATCCCATAGCACCACATCAAGACTCCAAAAGCACTATATATAAATACATTACAAATATGATAAATACATTACAAATTTAAAACACCTTACTTGCCAATTGCAACAGATACAATTAACCATTGTGTCTACTGTTCTTCCTTGCTGCAGATGAGACAATGAACAGATAGCATGCTCTACCTTTCTGTTCCATTAGTTCATCTGATCTTCATAACAGAAGTCAAGGCAGATACTGTCATCCCTTATTATAGATAAATGAGTGAGGGTACACAGATGTTAAATAACTTTCTTAAAGGCCCGTGCAATCAGGTGCAGAGGCTAATAGTCTAATTCCACAATCATGCTTTATTGTTACACGTATCTCTGCAGAGCCCACAGTATCTAATGGACTCTGTCTGAAATCGGAAGGCAATTTAAGATTATTAAACTCACGTTTAGCAGGAAAAGATTAAGTGCTAACAAAAATTTAAATGTCAAGGGACTGCCAATTAAAACCAAGCACAATGTTGGTTGAGTTATCTTACAATATCACTTTAGTAATATTCTGAAAGCCCATCCCATATGTTTTACACACAAACATTTTAGTTTTCATGCTTAGGGTTAGTCAGAAGTAACCTCCCATTTGAATTTGCCTGACCAAAATACATGCATGAATCAAATACACACACATATAGATAAAGACATATATGCAATTCATATAAAGTGATACAAAACCTTTTAAAGAATGTACAAATAACTGTATTGTAATCTCTCTTCATTAAACTTTTCACTTCCTTTTCCAATCCAAGAACAAAAGATTCATACCATCTCTAAGAAGTTATCAGAAGAGTAAGAGTCATATGTGTGCTTGTCCTTCAAAATAAGAATAAGTGCAGAATCTCCAATTATCTTCTTCAAATTCATTAATGAATGAAAAAGTCTGTGGAAAAAAAACATTTTACTAATCTGAGAATTCAAAATCCTGCATATAGTATTTTTACTTTCTTTAATAATGGTAAGACCACCAGAAAGTTTATCCTGAATTCATAAAGTGAAACCCCTAATGAACTGGCTATTTTTCTTCCAGAACTACTTACTTAGAAGAGAGGTCAATATTAGAAGATATAACTGATAAAAAATCCATTCAAAACAGAAAATTTTCTACATATACCTAAAAACAAGCTTATTGAAATTTCTTATATATTCTGTGACTATCACACCAAGTAATAACACCATCCAACATGATCACCCCAATAGCTTTAAGGTATGCCATCAAAAAGCAATGACTGATAATTCACTTTAGAGGCATCTTTAATATGGGCTGAAATAACAAGAAGATATAGTATTAACTGTCATTTCACAAGAAAATTTAGTCAGGACTAAAATTTAAATAGGTATTTTGTTGTTTTTACTTCCACATGCTTGTTCAAAAAAACTAGAGAGGGGAAATTTTACAGTTCTAGAAAACTGTCTTCATCCTTTTTACTTTTCTTGGTCCTTGAAATTATTTTCTATATTCAAATGGTATTTTTATACCTGTTGTACCAAAAGAATATTTATGAATTAATTCAAGATAAATTCTGGAATATAACCTCAACCTGTTACCAGATATTTCTGAAGCACTACACGCAATGGTATTTAATAACAACAATACCACATGGAAAAACCAGTTGCTTGATGGTTTTATTTCAAATTAAATCATGTTTCTTTAATGCTTTATGGAACAAGCATAACAAAGCAAACTCATCTCAAATAATCTGTACAGAAACTTGATGCTCCACCCACTACGTGAATCTACGATGTTTATATTATTTTCCACAACATAGAAACAAATTTTGAGTCTGTGCCTTAATAACATTGTTGTTGATAGGTAATGAAAAAAAAAAAAAAAAACTATAAACAAATTAGAAATAATTTCTTTTTGGAGCGTTTTAATATTTTTCAAAGATTCAAGCGATTGTGTTACTAATTAAATATATTTACATAGTAAATCTAAGTTTAGTGATAAAATTTTATGGAACTGAGTTCATGTAATCTTCTAGCTATACTTCTCAGTCATATTCAAATATCTTCCAGTAAGTAATATGTGCTCTCAGCAGATGGAAAGACCATACATACAGATGAAAAAGGCTCCATCAAATACTGGGTAAAACAAAATTTTAAATGGTTCAAATGTTTCATTAACATAGGACTTCTCAGAGTATTAATATCCTAATAGGAACTTACTCCAATCTACATGAAGCACAACTCAGAAAACATCACCTGGGAACATTCACAACGTCCTAGTTTGTTGTCACTAGTGTTGTTTTAAGATGTTAAAATGGCGGCCATTCAATCATTTGACATGTAAAAGTCCTTTACTCTTTCTTTGCTCAGTTTTCTCTTATTTGCCTTGATTCCATCTTCAAATTGATACAAATCAAACTCTTTCTTTAACTGGTTCATTATTTCCTCTTCCTTTCTAGATATCCCCCTTTTCTACTTTTAAGAAGACTATTCATTATAATGTCCTACTCTCATTCATTTTTCCATTCTACTTCTGAGACCATGACCATAAGGGTTTTATCTAAACAAGCTGGCTGCAGACTTCTTTCACATGACATAAAAATACTAAGGATAGAATTTACTCTGGCTCAGGTTGCTATTGTTGTTGTTACGTGTCGTGGAGTTGTTTCCAACTCACAGCGACCCTAAATAGGGTTTCCAAGGAGTGGGCTGGTAAGCTTGAACCCCCAACCTTGCAGTTCAAACCAACTTTGCAGTCCAGCACATTAACCCACAGTGCCACACCAGGTTGCTGTTGTTGTTGTTGTTAAGTGCCTTAGAGTTGGTTCTGACCCACAGCAACCCTGTACAGGTTTTCCGAGGTTGTAAATCTTTATGCAGGCAGAAAGCCTCATCTTTCTCCTGAGGAGCAGCTGGTAGTTTCGAACTGCTGACCTTAAGGTTCGCAGTCCGATTCGTAACCACTATGCTACCAGAGCTCCTTACAGGTTACCAGAGCTCCTTGTAGGTTGCAATCCCTAACTCACACACCTATTAATAGTGACATTTCTGGCAATATGTAAATGAACTGTAGTCAACAATCCATGTGTAAAAGAACATCTAATGCTAGTAGCACCTTTGCTTATAATCCCCTAACTTGTGCTTTGATGTTTCTGATTTAAAATGCCTGTGTTAATAACATGATAATCATCTGTGACTTTTCAAGGAAGTATTAAGTACACATACATTTACAAATATCAAACATAATTTGAGAATCATAGTCTCCCCCAACACATACACACCCTACCCCTACCTAAAATGCAATTTTATATTGGGAGGTCTTCAAAAGTTAAAGGTAAAACAAAATGATGTTTTGTTGTTGTTAAGTGCTGTTGAGTCAGTTCCACCTCATAGAGACACTGTAAGGGTTTCTGAGCAGTAGCTTGTAAGTCTGAACTGCCAACCTTGAGGTTCAAACCAACCCTTCTTTAGCCAGTGCTTAACTTATAGAACCACACTAGGACTCCAAAGCAAATAGGTGAAGGAATTAATGGCAAACCTTCTGGAAAGGATATGAGATAGAAAATATTCTATAACAAGAATTCAATGACTTGTACCCAAGCTTTTTTTCAACGTGACAGCAACAAAGAGAGCATTTAGTCAGCAAAAGAGAATGACTCTTCTATTTCCTCTTAGAAACTTTGCTCTGGTTTGGTTGCAAGCAGTCACACTGTTAAGTTTTTAACAAACCATGTACATGAGATGAAAGGAAGAAACAGAGGGTACTGAGTCTACTTTCAAAAATGCTTTTTGTGGGAAAAACACCAACATCATTATCATATAATGAGTGTTTTCTACTTGAAGTACAGTTCAACCTTGATAGATGATGTCTAACATATTTACCACATAAAACTAAGAAGATAGTTTCAAGGTACTATCTTGACTATAATTTTTAAGGACTCAGTCAAATCAACTAATGAAATCTCAAGAACGTATTTTCCTACCAACTTATGGTAAAAGAAAAAAATATTACAAATAAAATTTTAAGTAACATTTACTAAAATTACCAATACCAATTGTGGATTAATTTATAATGCTGACTTTACATGTAGTGCATACTTCTCACATTCATGGGTATTCATAATAAAGGCATTCACTACATGTAAGTCTTTGTTCTAAGAAAATTACAAAATATTTTTAATGATTTAAAAATATTATCAACATGTGTCATTGTTAATAAAAAGAAAAATATCTGGAAGAAATGATTGTCTAAATAATAATGGAACAAATCTAAACATTCTTTCAGTGTAAGAGAACCTCTGTATCTGTCCAAATGAACACTACCCAAACTCTAGTATGAGGATATCCACGTCACTGTCACAAAAATCAGGCTTTCTATTACTGGGATGCACTGCTTGTAAAGTCCTCCTTTAATCTGAGCTAAAGCCTATACTCACTATTTCTAATTTTGTAATATGGAAATAAATGAACTTCTAATCCTCCATTCATCTGATAGCTTTGATATTAACATTCAGGCCATTCTTCTTATTCTTAATTCCTTGGATCATCCATACATGACAAGGTTTTTAGGTCCTTCTCCTTCCTGGCTATGCTTCTTGGTATATTCTCTTTTTTTGTTTTTGGTTAACATTCATTTAAAAAATCAGGGATCTAAGAATAAGTGGCTCTAAAGCAAGCATGAGAGTAGACTATTATACAGTAAAGTAGGGCTTTTGATCTCACTGGTTAAAACTGATTTTTTTGATGGCAAATTCTTGGTCCATAAGGTAACTTCCAATTGTACCTATGAGAAAAACAGACCTGACTTTATAATGTTTTATTACTCTTTTCCAGAAATACATGGCAGCAGACAGTTGGAACAGCTTGCACTCTGTCAACTGATTTCCTGAACCAAGTTTGAAAACTGCCATTTGTCTGTTTTGCTATAGAAATACTTATAAATTATGAAAGTAGACTGATAAAACATTAATAACTTTATAAAAGATATAAGCTATAAAATTGTAAAAAAAAAAAAAATCTTTTTAAAGCTCATTCTTCACTAATTACATTACCTGGTCCCATAGTCCACAACCACCCAATCTTTTGCAGTCCCTGTGATAGCATCGTGATGTTGAAATAGTCCCAGATTCCTTCTGGCTTCTGTCAGTGCCAGGTAATGTGATGAGGAAAGAAATTTGTTTATCTTGTATTTCTGAGCTTGTCTCAAGGCGAAATAGTAAAGGATTTCAGCAGCCCTAGTAGCATAAAATAGTCATTAATTTTTATTTCAAAACAAACATTTTAGTTTACTACATAAAATCCATGATTATTTTAGATATACCCCTATCAATGGTTACTTAAACCTATAATTTCATACCATATGAGAAAAATATTGATAATAAACATTTCTGTACAACTAACCCATTATACATGTTAGGAACTGGATTCTGTGTACCAATGGCATGTGTTGTAACTCCGAATGTCTATACCAGCAGAGAAAACTCCATTTGCGAATAGGATTTTCTCTGTTATGCTAATGAGGCAGTATCAGTACCGACAGATCACTTTTGAGATATAAAAAGAACAGGTTAGGCACAGAAGCAAGCAAGCATGAATGTGGAAAGAAAGACACACATAGAGATCTCCAAGAAAGGTAAAAAAGAATGTTAGAGAAAATGAGAACGTTTTCTCTTAGAGGGGACAGACAACTCCCTCACCTCTCCTTGATCCCAAAACCCGGAATTCAGACTTTCATCTCCTAAACCGTGAGAAAATAAATTTCCATTCATTACAGTCACCCACTTGTGTTATTTCTGTTACAGAAGTTCTAATACTGCTTGGGTCATATAAGTAAGAACCAACTAGATGGCAAATAACAACAACAACAAATACGTTAAACATATAAAGTAATATGGAAAGAGAAAGATCACGGCAGCTTAAAAAGACATTTATCAGGAAAAAGGAAAGATTGGAAGTTTGGGTGTTTTTGCTGTTGTGTGGCTTAAAAACAACAAAAAAGATGCGTCTGTATATACCCATAGTAAATATTCCGAGTTTCAAAAACAGTATCTATTTACATACACTGTCAATAAACCAAGGGTTGTGGAGTTAATTGTAACTCATGATGAATCCGTGTCTTCCTGACTAGTACTACTCCATAGGGTAATCAAGACTGTGACCTTTTGGAAGCAGATTGTGAGGTCTGTCTTCCAAAGTCCTCTGCTGGTTGATTATGTGCCATGGAGTTGGTTCTGACTCCTCAGAGTGACCCTGTATAGGGTTTCCGAGACTATAAACTTTACAGGAGCAGAAAGTGTCCTCTTTCTCCAGCAGAACAGCTGGGAGTTTAGAACTGCTGACCTTGATGTCAACAGCCCAACTTGTAACCACTATACTACCAGAGTTCTAAGGTCCTCTGAACATGGTGATGGATATGTGTTGTGAAGTCAGTTCCAACTAATGGTGACCCCATTATAGGGTTTCTGAGTCTGTAAATCTTTACTGGAGAAGAAAGCCTCATCTTTCTTCTGCGGAACTGCTAGAGAAGTTGCTGATCTTGGAAACTTCTGGTCAGTTGTTGTTGCTAGGTGCCATGGAATCAATATCGACCCATAATGACCCTATGCACAACAGAACAAAACACTGCCTGGAACTGGGCTAACCTTGCAATTGTTGCCACTCTAGAGCCCATTGATGCTGCCACTTTGCCAATCCATCTCACAGGGGGTCTTGCTCTTTTTCTGTGACTCTCCACCTTACCAAACATGATATCCTGTGATTGGTCCCTCCTGACAATATGTCTGAAGTATGAGAGTCAAAGTTTGCCCATCATGGACTCCAAGTAGCACTCTGGCTGCACTTATTCCAACACAGATCTGTTTGTTCTTTTGGCAGCCCATGGAACCTTCAATATTCTCTAACACCATAACTCAAATGCATCAATTCTTCTATGTTCTTCCTTATCCACTGTCCAGCTTTCACATGCATAGGAGGTTATTGAAAATTCCATGGCTTGGGTTAGGCATATCTTTGTCTTCAAGCTGATATCTTTGCTCTTCAGCACTTTAAAAAGGTCTTGTGCAGAAGATTTGCCTAATGCAATATGTCATTTGATTTCTTGACAGCTGCTTCTGTGAGTGTTGATAGTTGATCCAAGAAGAATGAAGTCCTTGACAACTTCCATCTTTTCTCTGTTGATAAAAATGTTGTTTATTGGTCCAGTGGTGAAGATTTTTGTTTTCTTTACATTCATACGTAATCCATACTGAAGGCTGTGGGCTTTGTTCTTCATCAGTAAATGTTTTAAGTCCTCTTCACTTTCAGCAAGCAAGGTTATATCATCTGCATATCGCAAGTTGTTAATGAGTCTTCCTCCAATCCTGAGGCCACATTTTTCTTCACAGATCCCAGCTTCTCGGATTATTTGCTCAGCATACAGTTTGAATATGTATGGTGAAAGAATACAACCTTGTCACACACCTTTCTTAATTTTAAAGCATCCAGTGTTCCCATGTTCTGTTTGAACACCTGCCTCTTGGTCCATGTACAGATTCCTTATGAGCACAAGTAAGTGTTCCGGAATATGCAAACTTCACAATGTTGTCCATAGCATGTCATGATCCACACAACTGAAAGCCTTTGTGTAGTCAACAAAGCACAGATAAACATCTTTCTGATATTCTCTGCTTTCAGCCCAAGATCCATTGGACATCAGCAATGATATTCCTCATTCCACATCCTCTGGCTTGAACTTCTGGAAGTTCTCTTTCAATGTACGCTTGCAGCGGTTTCTGTATTACCTTTAGTAAAAATTTACTTGCATGGGATATCAAAGATATTGTCCGATGATTTACGCATTCCATTGGGTAACCTCTCTTTGGAATGAGCACAAATACGGATCTCTTCCAATACTAGACTGTCATATACCTTTCCTAATTTTAAACCATTCAGTGTTCCCAGCTGAGTACATAACCATCCGTACCACCTGGAGACTTCAATTTACTTTTCAGTTTATGAGGTATATTCAAATGTACATTATCTATATGTATTTACCTACAACCCAAAATGTTAAAACGTCAAGTCTAGTGAGTTTTTGAAATACGTTCTTCTTTATATTTTATTCACATTTTTAAAGTGTGCATGATGACAAATTATCACAATCGTTAGGCAATAAACTTAATTTCATTTTGAAATTCATCATTAATTTGGTTGGTTTTTTTATTTTATTTTATTTTATTTTTATGAAACACCAGAACTTTCTAAAAATATTACTAGTATAACTATCTCATGCTAAGTATGTTCAATGCATAAGCTATTGGACAGTATCTTTGATATCCCATGCGAGTAAAGTTTTACTAGTCATACATTGATAGGGACTTCCAAAGGTTCAAGCAGGATTCAGAAGAGGCTGTGGAACAAGGGGATATCATTGCTGATGTCCTGTGGATCTTGGCTGAAAGCAGAGAATATCAAAAGACGTTTACCTGTGCTTTATTGACTATGCAAAGGCTTTCAATTGTGTGCATCATGCAAGCTAAGGACAACATTGTGAATTATGAGTACTCCTGAACACTTACTTGTGCTCATGAGGAATCTGTACCTGGACCAAGAAGCAGTTGATCAAACAGAACATGGGAACACTGAATGTTTTAAAATTAAGAAAGGTGTGCGACAAGGTTGTATTCTTTCACCACACTTATTCAATCTGTATGTTGAGCAAATAATCTGAGAAGCTGGGTTCTATGAAGAAAAAAGTGTCATCAGGATTGGAGGAAGAGTCATTAACAACCTGTGATATGCAGATGATACAACCTTGCTTGCTGAAAGTGAAGAGGATCTAAAACATTTACTGATGAAGAACAAAGCCCACAGCCTTCAGTATGGATTACATCTCAATGTAAAGAAAACAAAAATCCTCACCACTGGACCAACAAACAACATTCTTATCAACAGAAAAAAGACTGAAGTTGTCAAGGACTTCATTCATTCTTCTTGGATCAACTATCAACACTCCTGGAAGCCACAGTCAAGAAATCAAACTATGTATTGCATCAAGCAAATCTGCTGCACAAGACCTTTTTAAAATGTTGAAGAGCAAAGATGTTAGCATGAGGACTAAGGTGCTGCCTGACCCATGCCATGGTGTTTTCAACAACCTCATATGCATGTGAAAGCTGGACAGTGAGTAAGGAAGACCGTAGAAGAACAGATGCTTTTGAGTTATGGTGTTGGGGGAGAATATTGAAAGTGCCATGAGCTGGCAAAAGAACCAATAGATCTGTTTTGGAAGAAATGCAGCTAGAGTGCTCCCTGTGGCCAAGATGGCCAAACTTTGTCTCTTATACTTTGGACATATTGTCAGGAGGAAGCAGTCACTGGAGGAGGATATCATGTTTGGTAAGGTGGAGGGTCAGAAAAAATGAGGAAGATCCCCAGTTAGACGGATTGGCCAAGTAGCAGCATCATTGGACTCAACCGTGGCAACAATAGTGAGGCTGGCCCAGGATCGGGCAGTATTTTGTTCTGTTGTGCATAAGGTCGCTATGAGTCGGTACCAACTTAATGGCACCTAACAGACACAGCAATGTTCAATAAGACTGAAGTAACAATTGTAACTTTTTGTTGCTTTAATCCGAGACTTAAGAATCATAACTGCAGTAGTCTAAGAGAATATCTACATACTTTCTTTTATTACAGAAAGTTTAGAAAACATAACAGGTAAAGGGCTAGCATTCTTTGGGGGTAAGACTGCATAAATTTATGATACAGAAATATCATTTTATTATAAATACAGTAATATGTGTTCATCTGGCATATCTGTCAATATGAATAATCTAAATAGCAACCAAAGCTTGTTGTTGTTTTTAAGTGCCTTCAAGTCAGTTCCAATTCACAGTAACTCTGTACAGGGTTTCCAAAGAGCAGCTGGTGAACTTAAACTGCGGACATTTATGTCAGCAGTCCAGTGCTTATTCTACAATGCCACATCGGGACTCCAATCAAAGATTGTTGATGTCAGTGCCATTGATTCGGTTACAGCTCCTACAAGATTCTATAAAGGGTTTCCAAGAAGCATCTGGTGATTTTGAACCGACTTTGTGGTTTACACCTACTATGTGGTCCAATGCTTATGCTTAAGCACCACACCAGGGCTAAGATTAGGCTTTTGAAATAATGATAACAGCAAACAACAACAACAGTAATAAACACGCACACTACTCAGCCAATGCACAAGTCTAGACAGAATTAATGATTTTTACTTTATTTTTATGTATTGTTATTGATACGTATCATTGAGTCAGTTCTTAGTCTCAGAGATCCTGTATAGGGATTTTGAGGAGTATCTCGGGGGTTTGAACTGCCAACCTTGTGATTAGCAGCCCAGGGCTCATCCTACAGCACCACACCAGGATACCAAGTGGTTGTTAAATGTTATCAAGTCAGTTCTGACTCACAGAGATCTTATATAGGGATTTCAAGGAGTGGCTTGTGGGTTTGAACCACCAATCTCATAGTTAGCAGTTAAGTGTTTATCCTACAGCAGCACACTAGGACTCATATACTGAGATTCATCATAAATTGAATTGCTCTTCCGAGCTATGAACACATAGAAAAAGTCTCGGGAGCCCCTAGGGTAGTTAATCTTTACTAAAAATTCACTACGATACAGTTACTTAGAATTGTATTTCCAGTACAGCTACTAGTTACATGAGGCTATTGCCATTTAAATTAACTAAAATTACATGAAATTATAACCTCAGTTTCTTAGCAGAACTGGTCACATTCAAGTGTTTAACAGTCACAAGTAGCTAGTAACTACCATGTTGGACAGTGCAGAAATAGAGCAGCACCATCAGTGCAGGAAGTTCTATTGAAGAGTGTTAGTTAAAAGTGTTTTCAAGTTTTCTATTGACTTCTTTGCTCTGTCACTTTACTTCTTTAGAAATTCATTCTACCTACCCTATCAATTTTCATCTCTCCAAGTTTGTTCTTCTAAGCAGAAAATCATTCCTATAAAACATATCTCAAATGAAATAAATAAGAACTAAGATAGAATCTCTGAAGTTCTCCTACATATAAAATACATTAGTTATAGAATATGCTTTTTGAGGCCTACACTTTGGCAGCTTAAAGGTCCTATTTGCTTCTTTTGAGTCTTGTCCATTTTCCAAGAATTTAAGCTTTCCATACACATGATGATGTCACTGAGTATTTCCATGGTGTGTGAATAATGCAGCTAATTAACCAGAAATATATAAAACACAGAACATAACACTTAGAAAACCTAATTAGAAAATCTGCTTTTCTAACCCATATAATAATTTGATTATACTTTGGAGAGTTATCTATGATTGAATTAAACCTTCTCAATACCATTAAATATATCATAATATTATATAAATGCTATATATTAATACCAAACAATGAAAATGCTATGATAACATCAAAGTGAATGAATAAATGTAATTATCAAAAGGCAAATGTACCTCAAATGAGATTCCATGATTCTATCCATTCGTTTGTAAAAGGGTCTGGATGTGAAGTAGCCACTCCAGTAATGATCATCCCGGTCAGCATAAGTAAAGAAATCTCCACTTAAAACAGGAAAGATTGATTGGCTACTCTTTCCACTATTTACATCTGCTTTATCCAGTGCATCAAAATAATCTGATAAAGTTCCAAACTGTATCTATTAAAAAAAAAGTTGCATATCAATAATTCATTGCTACTTTAAAATTATTTACTTCTTGAACTGAAAGGAAAAGTCAATAACAAATATTTTAGACGTCATTTCAAATTAAGGTGAACATATAACCCACATATCACAAAAATCTAAAGAAGATGGAAACTAGTGATTCTTTCACTTGTATCAAGTTCAAAATTAACTAAGAAAACTTGTATATTTAAAGAGTTATAAAGAGAGCTATTTAGATCTACAAATTTCTGAATGTGATAAATCCTTACAAAATATGCAAAAATCTAAGCACTGAGAAATCCA